GTGTGCTGAACAACTTTACTTAAGGGTACAAGTAAGGTTAACTTAGTAAAATACTTGAGAATAATTAAATGTTTTTAACAAAAATTTGGTATAAGTGATCTGCAGAAAGAGTTGCCGTTTTTTTAGCTTTAGTTTTTTCATAAATAAAATATATACTATATTATATTATATATGTACTTATATATAAATTTTAATAAAGAGAGCTAAAACAAGACCTCACTTTTTTTTTTAAAAAAAAAAATAAATTTAGTAAAAACTATTATTATTAAATTCATGAACTTGTATATAATTATTAACTATTAATATAAATTGAACTTAGATTCAAGAACAATGATCTAATCTAGTTTTTAAAACTGAACATAATCTAGTACTCAGCACTATCATATACAATAGGCTAAACCATCCTCCTGTTGAATTATACAGATATTTTTATAATGTATATCAGATTATTCAACAATTATATTTACTGGTGCATCACTAATTGCTTAACAATTGCAACAATTACCATAATAACAAGTAATTTTGATGATTTTAAATTTTTACTAGAACAAATTTTGTAATTTTGTTATAAATTATATTTTTTTTTGCACTTTTGTTTTCTTATGTAATTGTAATAAAATAGGTTTATAAAATAAATAGATTTTGTAATTTTAGTAAAAGAGATTTGTAATTATAATAAAAAAAATTTAATACAGTTTTTAACAAAAGTAACTTTTAAATATATAAATAATGTAAAAATATATATTTTTTTTTAAAAAAAAAGACTTTCTTTAGCAATAAAAGTATCTCAAAAGTCTGTATAACAAATAAACCAAAAAGAAAATAAAATGCTTGCAAAAAGTTAAATATTCTTATTTACTATAAACAAAATAAAACAAGTATTAAAGCTATGTGTAAAAAATTTAATATCCAGTCAAATCAATTACGTAACTAGATGAATAAAAAAGACAAATTAATTAAAGTTTCACTAAACAAATCTAAATTACATAATGGATACATATCTCATTATTTGCAAATAGAAGAAATTTTATATAATTAGATTATAGATTAATGACAAATACAGAATTCTGTAATTAGAGAAATGATATCTACAAAAACAGTTTCACTTATCCAGACTATAAATTTATAAGATCAATTATTTAAATTTTTTTTTTTAGTTAAAGTCTCTATCTTGGGAGTAGCGATGTTTTTATTCAAGTATATTAAGACACAGCATGCCACCAAAGGCTCACCTTACATTGGAGGTTACAACTAGCCATATGTGCATTTTTGATGCCTAATTTAAGTAGTCTGCTTACATATTACTATATATGTTCTACACTAGTTATCATATCTGCAAGTCAGCTAGGAATCTTGTCTATTTAAACCCTCTGCATATGCAGTCCTTCTTGTATCACAGGAACATCTCAAGGCACTGCTCATACAAGTTCCTAATGCTTATCAATCTTTTTAAAACTACTTTATTCTTGATAGAAAACTTATTAGAGCCTTTATGTCTTACATATCTAGACCTAGTTTTATGCAACATGCTATAGTTATCTAACACTTGCAGTTACAAAGGTTACCTGTTTAACCACCATGTTACACTATTTCTACCTTTGTAAAGTTCACTAGAAACCCAGTACCCATCTTTTTAGCATCTTCTCTATCATCTCTTACTAGCCGTAACTCAGAACTGTCAGTCTCATTTCAGACTACCAATCCAGATGGCCTGGTATGATATATTTCTGTATCCTTTTCCTCTAGTGAACCTAATGGCCTGGTTGGTTATATGCTTTTCTATACATATTTTGTCATTCAGTTTTAATCTTCAGTTCCTATAAAGATGTTTTATGGACTTCAATCAGTCCAATGGTACTGTTGAAAGTTCATGCTACCTCTTTATTCAGGAATTTCCAAGTGGGTTTCTGTCATCTCAGTTCCTTAATTTTCTATGCCTAGTGGTCTTATCGTGAGTTTGTACTGAAATCTTATGCAATACTGATTAATATTCTTCTATTTATATGTAACATTACACTTCGCATAGATGCCTTGAGCTCCCAAAGTCAGGAAGACCTGACCTGGTATATCTGAATAACAGTCGCATAAGGCCAACCAATTGACAGGAAACAGTTACTGTAACACAGATATAATTTCCAAATTTCGGCATAGGTGAGATTTGAACCTTAGACCTGCCACTTGGAGGATGACAACCCAACCACTACACTAGGATTGCCATCCTCATCATTTAAATTTTCAAGTAACTGGCTTAATAGTTTCTTGAATCATTATAATTTATCAATTTAGTATTGAACAACTATCACACAAAAACTATCTGAAGATTATAAAGAAAAACAAAACAATTTCCTTAATTATGTTTTTAATTTATGAATTTAACACAATTGTCTTTTATTTTTGATAGGAAATATGAATAAAACTTCCCTAACATTTGATTCACCAAATCATCAACTATTGAAACTTGTGAAGCCTATACTATAAGCATTTGAACTACTGATTATGAAAAAAAAAATTTTACTGTTATTCTTGCATGTTTAACTGATGGAACAAAACTACCACCTGTATGCATTTTTAAAAGAAAAACCTTACCTTAAAAGAATTTCCCTAATAATGTTTTTGTTCGGGTAAATGAGAAAGATTGGGTAAATGAAAATGAAATGCTTTGGTGGATCAAAAATGTGTAATCTAGAAGAGCACCTTATAATTCAAGGTCTCTTTTAATACTTGATTCTTTTCATGCACACCTAATAGAACCAGTAAAACAACAGTTTCTTGTTCATAATACAAATATAGCTGTGATTCCTGGTGGACTTACGTCTAAATTACAGCCATTGGACGTCAGTATTAATAAAAGCTTTAAATCAAAAATTCGGGTACTTTATAATCATTGGATGTCAGAAACAATCCATGATTTAACTCCCTCAGGACGTATTAAACGACCATCTTATTCACTACTTGCCTCGTGGGTGGGAATTGCTTGGATTCACTTGATCTAAATTTAATTCAACATTCATTTAATTGTTGTAACATTTGATTTTTTTTTCGTCGGTTATTCAGTATTGTTACACAAACAAAAATAAACTATCATATGCACCATTTAAATATACGCATGCCCAATACTTATATTATGACAGGGGGGTTGGTTTAGCCCGTCGTATACGGTATTTGTGACCCAAACACTTAACACTAACAAGATTAGTTTGTTTTTATAAAACCTGAATTATGGTTATTGACGACAAATTACTACGTAGTGCTAGGTATTATTTGCCAATAGCCAATAACAGATAAGTATATTTGAAATATTATGATATCGATATCGACCCAAAGTTTTTGCAAATTACACAATTACTGAGTTTATTGAGTAGTACTATAGTATAATAATGGCGAACGTTACATCACATACTATCTCGGTCAAGAGTTCATACCACATTTGGATGTTTTTTTTTTGTTTTTTATTTATATATAGATAACGATATACATAATAAAGTAGCACAATTAAAACGCCTTTTTTCCATTCAATTTTTTTTTTTCAAACGAGATTTAATAGATGTCAAGGATAATATTAGTTGGAGTTTTTTTAGTAGTTTCGATATCACGAGTTCTTGCACGTCCATATTTAAGTCAATATGAAGATTTTGACAAAGACCCAGTACATAATATGAACAAACACCATCCGAAAATTCATGATCAACTTGATCTTCCATTCTGGGTTAAAGTTGTTCTTACAGTTGTTTTGGTTCTATTAGGTGGATTGTTTGCGGGTAAGTTGTTAAGTCATTTTGAGTTGTTTTAAGGTGGTTAAATGCATAGAATAGATTTATAAATGTCTAGTCTTTTTTTTTTTTAATAAAAAAAAAAACATTTCATAATTTTAGGTTTAACCCTTGGATTGGTACATTGCATTTTATTATTGAAATGATTGAAAATGAAATTATATATATATTTATTTAAAATAATTATTAAAATTAATTAATATTTATTTAGATGAGTTTAGATGAAACAAATCTTCATATTCTTGCTACATCTGGAGATTCTAGACAACGGTAACATATAATTTGAATTAATTCATCGCATCGTACTTTTTTTTTTCCTGTAATATTAAAACATTTCTTTATCGACTTATTAGGAAATTTGCCTCACGAATTAAGCCTATACGTAAAAATGGACATTTGCTTTTGGTCACACTTCTCCTTGTAAATGTATTTGTTAACGAAACTCTTCCGATCGTCATGGATGACGTAATGGGTGGCGGTGGCATAACAGCAATTCTAGTTTCTAGTGTGCTTATTGTTATTTTTGGAGAGGTAATAAAAAAAATTATATATATATATATTTTAAGAATAAATAGAATAATATATTTATGCAATTTTTATAAAATTATTTTAAATAGATTATTCCACAAGCTGTTTGTTCTAGGTACGGACTTGCCATCGGAGCCTTCTTTGCATGGTAAATTAATTAAGTCGTTTTTTATCATAATATTAAATGAATTTAGTGATTATCATTCCTTAATAAATATCATTGCTAATAAAAATTTATTTAGGCCTGTGAGAATATTGATGTGGTCGACTGTAGGTCTCCTCATTACTTTGCATGTTATTTGTTTATTTATTTGTTTATTAACTATATTTTCGACACTTAACATTTATTTTCAATATAAAGTATATAGTCGCGTATCCGATAGCAAAATTATTGGATAGAGTTCTTGGTGAAAATCATGGTATAATTTATCGTCGTGCGGGTAAGATTCAAGAGACTTTAAAATAGGATAATAATAATAATAATAATAATAATTATTATTATTATTATTATTATTATTATTATTATTATTATTATTATTATTATTATTATTATTATTATTATTAT